GAAATGCTTCCACCCCTCTTCACCTGGCTGGCACACACTCATCCCTGAGCACATGGCTGACATGTCCCTTTCAGACAGGCCTCCCCTGGCCACCCCATCTGATTTAGGTGCCTTCACTCATCATCCTTCTTCATTCATCCTCTCTTCTTCTTTATCTATCTATCTATCTATCTATCTATCTATCTATCTATCTATCTATCATCTATCATCTATCTATCTATCAATCATTTGGTTATATTTTTAAACATCTTTCTACTTTTCTTGACAAAGTTCCACAAAGGGAGGGATCATTTTACTTTGTCCACCATAATCACTCAAGAGCCTAGCGCCTGATCCCAACTTTGCCCTCAACAAATGTTCATGGATAAGATAAAAGCTACCCACTCAAGGTGAATTGACTGCCAAGAGCACTGAGACTATCAAAGCATGCTTCCTTCCATTTTCTGTGATAGGGTGAATACACCCTGCCCCCATCGTGCTGTGTACAAATACATTGTATTATTTGGCCTTGGTCTGTATTTCTCTGTATGTGGCATAAAATGAGGGTGAGCTCAAACCTGTCATTATCTGACACAGTTCTGCCAAGACCAGTTCATACCCCACATACACAGTGACCTTTGCTCTTGGCTTTGGGTATCAATCTCTGAAGCAACGTAGAAAAGCTTTGGCTAGTCTAGACACAGAAAAATTATTTTTAAGCTGAGCAAAGAATCAGAAAAGGTAAGGGCCCATTAAGATGTTGCTCAATTCTAAGAAAAGAATGAAAGGGACTTATGATTGTTCTTACTTAAAACTTCTCCAGTCAGATGTTTAGCTTTGTGCCTCTAAACATCAGCCATATGCATCAGTCACATTTTAACAAGGCGATACTGCTAATGCTCCCTTCCTTTGAGAGGTAGAGCCTATTTTTCCTCCCTCCAATCTGGCTTGAACATGGGGCTTGCTTTGGTCAATAGAACTTGAACAAACATGATGTAAGCAGAGATTTTGAAAGTGCTTTGCTTTGTTTGGGGCTTGCTCTCTTGCTGGTTTTTGGGCTCCAAGACGACCACATGAAGTCCAGACCAGCCCACTGGAAGATGGAAGACCACAAGGTGCAGAGCTGATCTTGTATAGCTGGGAGCCCCCAGGCCAAGCAGGCTGCCAACTGCCAGACATGTGAGTGAGATGACCATAGAGTATCTGACCCCAAATTAAAGAACTGCCCGGGGCGCCTGAGTGGCTCAGTCGGTTAAGCGGCTGCCTTCAGCTCGGGTCATGATCCCAGGGTCCTGGGATTGAGCCCCGCATCGGGCTCCCTGCTCGGCGGAGAGCCTGCTTCTCCTTCTCCCTCTGTCTGCCGCTCTGCCTACTTGTGCTCTCTCTCTATCTCTGTTAAATAAATAAATAAATAAAAATCTTAAAAAATAAAATAAAATAAAAAAATAAAGAACTGCCCAGATAACCTACAGACCCTGAAAAATACTAAATGACTTCCACTTTAAGTCATTAATTGTGGGGGTGGCTTATGAGGCAGCAAAAGGTAACTGATCCAGTGAAGTCACAGATAATGTATTACTATGTGACTGGTCAAGGAGGCATGCCAGATGGTCAGAAACTGTAAGTTTGGCAGAGTTTGTCAAACTCAGTAGTCCCCTAAGATTGTCCAAGGTATAAAAGGGGACTTACTGATCCAAAATTTGGGAATCACTGCATTGTAAACCATTCTCCATTTAGAGACTGGCAACACAAATGAACACATTAAAGATTTTGAGGAACCATGCCGTAAAAGAAAATAAGCCTGCTAAAAAATTTTAAAGCCCTTCCTGCTTCCCAAACTTTTTTGACCTCTTGACCTTATAGTCTGGACATTATCTTCATTGCTGAAACCCTGGTCCAAACATAACGGGAAGGTGACTGGATGAGAACTATGAGATCTGGATTCGGGTCCAAGATGTAGCATTTATAAACTGTAAGAATCTAACTTTGTAGAATTAGGTAAAATGAGAGATATTATCCTTGCACCAAGTCTCTTCGAGGTCATAGTCAACCCATTCATGTCACTTGGGTTGGAAATTTAGATGATGCATTGACACTTTGTGCTCAGTCCTGTGTTCTGGTTTTGATGAGTTGTGCCAACCTTGAAGTGGCAAATCATTCACTCATCTCAAAATCTTTTTTGAGACCCTGCTGTGTGTCAGCTACTATTCCAAGTGCTGGGGATACATTAGTGACCAAGTCTTTCCTTGAGAGTTTGATTCTAGTAGGAGAGGTGGATGATAAATCTGCAAAGAAATAGTAATATAATGTCAGATGGTAATAAGGACTGTGAGGCAAACACAGTAAAGGGCTAGACCACTATTCTTCAACTTCAGCATGTGTCAGAATCACCTAGCTGATTTGTTAAAATCTAGATTTCTAGGTCCCATCCCCCAGGGTTTCCGAATCAGTAGGACTCAAGTGGGGATTAAGAATTTTCATTTCTAATAAATTCCCAGGTGATGTTGATTCTGTTTGGTGGGAGGTCCATGCTTGAAAACTGGGGAGCTAGAGAGTTGATAGAAAGTTGCTCTATGAGATGACCTCTAGGATCATCAGAAAACTTGCTGAATGAGGGAGGAAGCTATGGGAAGATGTGGAAAGAGAATTTTATGTAGAAGGCAGAGCACAGCACGTGCAGAGGCCCTGGAGGCAGAATCAAGCTTGTTCTGCTGGAGGAATAGTGGGAGGACTAATTTTCCTAATAGTCATTGATGTGGTAGCAGACCAAAGTCCTTGTCACCTATCAAAGCATGAATTATTGAGGGGGAGCAATCTTCATAGGCCATGGCCTGCATGGTTCACTGGCTGGAGTTGAGCTTTCAGGTGAATGACTTCCTGATAATACTCAGATTTAGAGGGCGCCTGGGTGGCTCAGTTGGTTAAGCGACTGCCTTCAGCTCAGGTCATGATCCTGGAGTCCTGGGATCGAGTCCCGCATCGGGCTCCCTGCTGAGCAGGGAGTCTGCTTCTCCCTCTAACCCTCCCCCCTCTCATGCTCTCTCTATCTCATTCTCTCTCTCAAATAAATAAATAAAATCTTAAAAAAAAAAACAAAAATAAAAATACTCAGATTTAGAAAGAGTTAAGAAGAAAAAAGGAACCTTAAGAGCTGCGAAGTTTGAGTTAAATTATGTGCCAAGACCAGAAAAGGAAACTGCTCATGTGTCATGTTTCATTTGTAAAGGTTGACTGGTTTCAGTTTTGACACCAGAACTGGGTATCACTCAAATACATAAAGTCCCCAAGTCTCTGGCTTGTAGAGGGTCTGTGATTTCTCAGGTCACAGCATATCATTTCAACATGCTCCTTGTGCATCTGTGGATTTCCCCAGACAACAGCACATTGTGTTTGTAGGCTGCTGTACACATGGGAGATATTTTTCACATCTCTTATCACATCAGATCCTTACAATTTAATTTCATGATGCAGGAGGGGCAGAAACTATTACTCCCATGCTGCAGATGAGAATACTGGGGCTAGGAGAACCCAACACTGAGAACCATTTCTTTCTTTTCTCTTCATATGGTCCTTTTTTTGAAAGGCAAACTGATTTTCCAAGCTGTGACAAATGTGCAGTCAATAGTGGAGCAGGGTGGTGGGGGCCAAACCCATCATCTTCCCACCACTGCCTCTCCTGAGGACATTTGGTCTCAGTCGCTGCTGACCACTCATGTGCATTTTATCATCACCATCAATCATAAAATGGTGGACTCACTCAGAAGAAAGATCATTTGTGAGAAGAAAAGAAAGCTGAATTTTATTTAGCACCCAAGATCCAGGCATGGTTCAACAACTTGGTTCAGCATTTCAAAGTGTGATTTTAGTGAATCCCCTTGTCAGTGGGGCTTTTCTCCATTTTGTAGGTGAAAAAACTGGGGATGAGGGAATTTAATTAATGGCTTGAGGGCAATAATGTGAGTGACTTGATGTCATTCCTCGCTACTGGTATTCTCTCCAACTTCAGTGACCACAAAGCTTTCTTTCCACTATGGCATTGAAGCCTGGAGGAAGAACCAAGAGGTGGGCACATACATGATAAGAATGAAACAATGCCTGGTAGAACAGTTTCATGTCAGTCAAGCCAACAGTTTGAATCAGCAACACTCTTTCTATACTTAGAGATAAAAGCAGTTAAAAAACTAAGCTAGAGGAAATGTCCATTATATCCTTTAAAAAACGCAAACATCTTCATATGGAGGACCACCCTTCATCATCATCATCATCATCATCATCATCATCATCATCATTATCATCATCATCATCATCTGTTTATTAATACTTTATTTTAGAGCAGTTTTACCTCCACAGCATAATTAAGGGGAAGCTACAGACATTTCCCCTATATCTCCTGTCCTTATACATGCACACAGCCTCCCTCATTATCAATACCCCTCACCAGAGTGGTACGTTTGTTACCTTTCATGAACCTACCCTGACACATCATTATCACTCAGAGTCCATAGTTTACATATGGTTCACTCTTGGTGGTGTACATTCTGTAGATTTGGACAAATGCCTAATGACATGTATTCAGCATACAGAGTTTGTGGTAATCATTGCACAGTATATGTAAATCAGAACATCATGCTATAAGCCTTAAACTTATACAGTGATGTATTCAATTATTTCTCAATAAAAATGGAAAAAACACAAACAAACAAATCTAAAAAAATATAAAAATCACTGGTGCCTGGGCACCTGGGTGGCTCAGTCGTTAAGCGTCTACCTTCAGCTCAGATCATGATCCCAGGCGTCCTGGGATCAAGCCCAGCATCGGGGGTGTCTGCTCTGCGGGAGGCCTGCTTCTCCCTCTCCCACTCCCCCTGCTTGTGTTCCCTCTCTCGCTGTGTCTCTCTCTCTGTCAGATAAATAAATAAAATCTTAAAAAAAAAAAATCATTGGTGCCTATTCGTCCTGTCCCACTCCAATGTGCCAGCAACCACTGATTTTTTTTTTTTTTTTTTTTTTTTTGGCTTCATAGTTTTGCCCTTTTCAGAACGCCACATAGTCGGAGTCATAAGGTATGTAGCCTTTTCAGATGGGCTTCTTTCACTTAGTAATGCATATTACTAAGTGAAATTTAGTAATTTCACTGTTTCTTTTCATGGCTTGAGAACTGACTTCTTTTTAGCACTGACTAATATTCTATTATCTAGAGGTACCACAGTTTTTTATCCTTTCACCTACTGAGGGATATCTGTGTTGCTTCCAAGTTTTGGCAATTATGAATAAAGCTGCTATGAGCAATTGGGTGCAGGTTTTGTGTGGACCTAAGTTTTCAACTCCTTTGCCTAAATACCAAGGAGCACTATTGCTGGATCAAATGATAAGAGTATGTTTAGTTTTGTGAAATCTGCCAAACTGTCTTCCAAAGTGGCCGTCCCATTTTGTATTCTCACCAGGAAGTGAATGAGAATTCCTCTTGCTCTACATCGTGGCCAGCATTTGGTGTTGTTAGTGTTCTGAATTTTGGCCATTCTAATAGGTGTGTAGTAGTATCTTATTGTTGTTTCCATTTGCATTTCCTTGATGATGTAAGACATGGAGCATCTTTTCCTATGCTTACTTGTCATCTATGTATCTTCTTCAGCGAGGTGTCTGTTAAAATCTTTGGCTCATTTTTCAATTGGATGGTTTGTTTTCCTACTACTGACTTTTAAGAGTTCTTTGTGTATTGTGAATAACAGTCTTTTATCAGATATGTCTTTGCAGAGATTTTCTCCGAGTCTGTTGCTTGTCTTCTCATTCTCTTAACATTTTCTTCGGCAGAGCAGAAGTTTTTCATTTGAATGAAGTCCAGCTTATTAATGCTGTCTTCATGGACTGTGCCTTCGGTGTTATATCTAAAAAGTTATTGCTATACCAAGGTCACCTAGGTTTTCTCCTATGTTATCTCATAAGAGTTTGAGAATTTTGCATTCATTCTAAATTTAGATCTATGATTCAGTTTGAGTTAATTTTTGTGAAGGACGTAATGTCTATATCTAGGTTCATTTTTTTGCACATAGATGTCCAGTTGTTCTAGCATCATTTGTTGAAGGGACTATCTTTGCTCCATTCTACTTTGTCAAAGGTCAGTTGACTATATTTATGGGTATCTATTTCTGGGCTCTCTATTCTGTTCCATTGATCTATGTGGCTATTTTTTTTTAAATTATCACATTGTCCTGATTACTATAGTGTTATAGTAAGCCTTAATGTCAGGTAGTGTCAGTTCTCCAACTTTGTTTTGTTCCTTCAATATTGTGTTGTCTATTCTGGGTCTTTTGACTGTCCATATAAACTTTAGCATAAACTTTCAGATGTTGGTATCTGCAAAATACTGCTGCAATTTTGATTGAGATTGCTTTGAACCTACAGATCAGTCTGGGGAGGACTGACATCTTGACAATTCCTATGCATGAGCATGGAATATCTCTCCATTTCTTTAGCTCTTTTCTGATTTTGTTCATCACCATCATTTTTTAATGTCATGAATGAGTGCAAGAATGAGTAGGAATCATTGAAATACCAGAAAAGAATATGTGATGGCCTGAATTTATCAATTCTCTTGCCATTAATTAATTAAATCCAAAAGTGATAGTAAATTTAATCTATAGTTTATCCAAACAAGCAAATAAAATCTTCCTGACATTTGACTTATGTATCTAGTGGAAAATGCTATTAAAATAATCATGGGGGAAAAAAGAAGCTGCTTTCTTGTCTTTCCAAAAGAAGCTGCCATCATGGAGGGAACTTGAGCCCATTTCATTTTTACCCCATGAAGTGGAGAAGAATACCAGATCCAGCTTTTAAAAATTGTATTTCCCAGGTTCTTAGTTTATTTAATAAACTCAAAAATATTGTTAATAAAAGTAAAGAGCTCTCCACAAAATAAAGGTAATTTTTCTGGTCGCTGAATGGAGATAAAATTGTATATACTTTTGAAATGTAAGAACTCAGAGAGATTTTAGGAATCAAACCAATCCCTTGCATTTACTCATATGAATAGGAGGACTAGGAAAGAAATGATTAGGCCAAGGAAATACAAGTAATTAAGAGCATGGCTGAGATCAGATAAGCTCAGCGCCAAATCCAACATTTGGAACTTTCTGGATGACTTTACTTTCACCTGTGTTAGAAAAAAATTTCAGGTAGTCTAGAAACAATATTAGAGAAAGGTATTCTAACTTAAGAAGTTTGTAGTTAGGAAATGCTACAGAAAAAAATATGAAAATATTTTTCTAAAAACGGAGTCATTTCTTCCAAAAGAGCATCATGAAAGGCTGGAACTTGTTGATCAGCAAAGGAGTCTTTTGCCAGAAGATATTATTTTTGCAAATCTGAATTCAGCCATGTATCTGAGTTTGTGCTCAATCTTTGCCAAGATAGGAGTGTCCCTTCTCTTTCAGAGAATTGATATCCTGTTCAAAGACATGTAAGCCCCACAAGGGGAGGGATTTTGATTGTTTTGCTCACTGTTCTCTCTCCAGAGCCTATAATAGTGCCAGCCCAGGAATAGGCAGTTTGTAAATACTGTTACAAATACTTGTAAATATTTGTTGAGTTAATTAATTTAGAAGACATTATCTTTCAAGAAAAGATGTTGGCCTTTGCCATTTTTCTGGACTTTCAAATAGCATAAATTTTTTTTTCAAGAATAACAGATAATATTCATTGAGCACCTGCTATGTGCCAAACACTGTGTACTGCATTATCTGTTTATGATCACAGGTATTTCTCACAACATCACCATCAAGCAGGCATGATTGTTTTCTCCATTTTTTACAAATGAGGAAACGGAGGTGTAGAGAAGCTAGGTGACATGCACAAAATGATCAGCAAAGACACAATGCTCAAATCTTTAACAGCCCATTATTTGATATGAACCACAGTGGGAGGTTTTGCTCTGAGTCTGCATAAATGGAAACTCAGGCCTTCCTTGTTTTTTTCTGCCAGTTCTAAATTTGATTGAGTCAAATGTATCATTTATAGATATCCAAAATGTGGTCTGCAGTTGCATCTGAAGGAGATCTGTACTATTTTATGCAGTGCTTTGTAAACTTAGGATGAGGCAAGTTTATTGTAAAAGAGAGCCATAATATATGAAAATAGAAAAGGTGAATAAACTTATATTGCCCTCAAATTGAGAATCTCATTTAAGCCAACAAAAACAAGTAAATTTGAAGTTATGACTATCACTCTAGATATGACTCATTCAGGGTTTTTAAGGATCTGAAAATAACCCATAATCATAAGCATCATATATGTATTATTGTATCTAGATAAATTAGAATTCATTCTATGAAAATGAGTAAGATTCACCTTTATTCCCTTTCTAAACAGAAAGGATATTTTCACAGAATTTTTTAAAATTACATTTCCACTTTTGTTGCATATAAACATAACTAAAAAAAAAGGAAATACACTTAATTGACATGTTTTGGGGAGGTATGTCATGAACCACTAGATTTCTTCTATGATTGGCAAAGAATTTAACAACGCCCTATACTTTGTGTGCTCACAACGAACATAGCTTATTACAGTCCAATTAGCAATTACTCAGCTCATCTTAAACCTATCCTTCAGAGAGCTGAAAATCAAGATTGAATTTAAAAGGGTTTTGGTATTCCTAAGTTCCTTTCTTCATTCACCTTTTTCCAGATGCACTTTAATTCATCAGCATCTTCATTTTTGCATAGGCTTTTAGTTTGTGGCTACTAGCTGAGCTTGTAATTGCTACATAGGGCCACCATAGATTTGAATATTGATTGTTTTGAAGATTTTTATACTTAGAATATTGGATAATATTTATTCACTCAAGTTCAACTCCACATAACTTTGTTGAATATTTTATTTGTGATAATTGTAAGAATGAAGAGAAGCCAGTAAATGCTAATTGCTCATCTTCTAGTGTCTCATAATTGTGCTAGTACCTCAGAGAGCTTTACTAGAATAATTAAGAAATAATATATTCCAGCAATTCCACTCCTAAGCATATGCCCAAGAGATATGAATGCATGTGTCCACAAAAAGAATTATTTAAGAATTGTCATAGCTACTTTATTTGTAATGGTCTCAAACTGGAAATAACCCAAATATCCCTTAGTTGGAGAATGACTAACAAATTGTAGTCTATTTATATGATTGAATATCAAATAGAAATGAAAAATATAACAACTTTCTAATCCACAAAATAATGTGGATTTATCTAAAAATCATACATTGAGTAAAAGAAACCAGAGAGAAGAGAGAACACATTGTATGGTTCTATTTATATGATGTTCAAGAACTGGTGAAGCTAATAAATGATGACAGAAGTCAAAATAGCATTCACATCTACAAAGGGAGTGGTTATCAACAAAGAAGACCTATAGAGAAACTTTCTGGGTTGCTGGAAATGCCTATCTTGTTCTGGGTGGTCATTACACATAGGTATAAAAATGTAAAATTTAATCAAACTAAACACTTAGAATTTGCCAATTTTACTATAAATAAATTACACTTCAATTTAAAAATTATTGCTCTGGCCTTTTTTTTTTTTAACATAGCCTTTGTTTTGGAGCTATAGTCTTTTTGACATACATAGGCCTATTTTATTATTTTAATTGTATCTATTTAAAGAAAAAATTATGCTCTGGTGGAGTTTGGCTTGGTTGATGGGTGTGTTGGGATGACATGAACTACCACAACAAATAAACTTGCACATTTCAGTGGCTTATTATATGCCAGAAGTTGATTACTCAATCACTGTAACAGTTGAATATGAGTGTTCTGGTTCTTTTCCAGATTGTGATCAAGGGACCCAGGGTCTTTCCGGCTTGTGGCTTGCCATTTCCTGCCCTGGTGCCTCAGAATCTTCTACCTCCAGCTGGAAAACAAAGAGAATGTAATTAGGGAATTTTTGAAGTTTCTAGCTAGTGACATGCTTGTTTTACTTAGGCCTTTTCTGATCCTCCCAGTGAACAGCAGTCCCTTAATCAAGGAGCTAGGGACATGTCCCATGACTCCCAGACATGCTCATATTATCCATCTCCATATGGCTGCCCCATAACTCCCTCTCCTACATAAAGGTAGCCTGATGGACTGGTTAAGAGTATAGCCTCTGCCACCAGTACCTGGGCCTGAGCTTAAGCAAATTATTTGGTCTTCCTATGTTTTAGCTTCCCTATCTGGAAAATGCAGTGCATTATGATACAGCTTCACAGAGTTCATGGGCAATTTCTTAAAAATGTGTGAAGTATTTAGGACAATATCTGGAAATAATACATATTTTAGAATGTTAGCTATAGTACATACTTCTTCTATCAGCATCCATACCAGACTGTCTACTGCATCTCCAACATGCCCTAGGCTTCTACCACAACAAAGGATCAAGTTCTTTTGCCAGGCCAGTTTCATGGGCATGCAATCTGTGCAGTTGCACAGGGTCCAAAACTCAGAAGGTCCCCATGCTTTTAGCCTGGCACTCAGTTTAATACTCTGTTTTCACCGTCTTGAAATTCCCACTAATTTTATCTTTGAATTTGTGTCCACTGCCATTCTTTGCTGCTCCACTCACTGTTAGGGGAGGTCATTGAGAGGCTGTGACCACCTGTTGACTCAAGAGCTGGACCCCGGCAATTAGGGGCTCCTCACCCTTTCCCCTGTCCTTGAAATATGGGTTCCTCTTGCCTTCCCTGCTCCCAGAAGCTACCCCAAGGATACACCCTTGAGAGAGTGATGAGGTCTTGAGACCTGGATGGTATAGGTGACTGAATACCATCAAGGCCTCTACATAAACATTTAAGATTTGGCAGGTGGGTGTGGAGATCTACTTGTCTTGCAGCTGCCCAAGACCAGCCTCATGTGTAAGTTCCCTTGCTCATTAAACTTACCACCTACTAACCTGGAGTGGCTTGACTCTTTGATCTTTGATCTTTCCCTGTCTTCTGTGTATGGGGACCAGTTTCAGATTATAACTGGTAGCTCCCAAGGATCTTGTGAATCAACACTCACATATAACATTCTTGATGCCCCATGAGCACAGAATTCCAATGGCCCCACAATGTGTGAGAGGTCAACAAAACTCAAATTGAGTACAAGACAAGCATGTTACATCTATGACTGAGTAAGGGGGGGGGCACTGACAACCCCTAGAGGCCATGCTTTCCTTTCCATTCCATTCCATTCCATTCCATTCCATTCCATTCCATTCCATTCCATTCTTGCCTTGAATGCAGAAAGAAAGCAACAACCATGAAACTCTATCATTTCCTATCTTACTCATCTTACTTCCCTGCATTAGTTAACCATTTACTCTGAAAGTGAAAACATAGAAGGAAAGGGCAACCCAAAGTTCCTTTTCCTTTCAGTTCTTCCTTACTCATCAATAAGTAAGTCAAAGATAGAATCTTGGTAGAATGGGCACATATCAAGAAGTAAAAATAACAGTTCGTTAGTTTTGTGCTGTGTTTCCACTGTTCTGATAAGAACAAAACACATATGCATATACAAACTGCAAACTACGTGAACTAGCCACAAAAATACAAATTGTGTAATTCTGTTGATTTCACAAAGGAGTTAAATGCTCCTATTTTTTCATTTAAAACTAGCATTGCATAATATAAAGATGAACAGTAAAATGAATGCTAATAATTTAAAATGCTTATTTTTCTTTATTTAGAATGATATTAAATAGTGAATAAAAAATACCATGACAATTTCAAAAAGAGAACATGGAAAAAAGGGAGATAGCTTTATGTTTTGTACCTGCAAGGGCACTTTTTTCCTGCTTTTTGAATTAAGGGCCCCCCATTTTCATTTTGTACTAGGCCTTGCAAATACTATAGCCAGCTGTTTCTTTCCCTCTCTATGACTTCTCCCACAAGATCTATCTGGCCATCTTCTGCAGGAAATCTTACCCCCCCCCCCACCACCACAATTTCTGGGCTATCATGGCCTCCTCACCAGCAATCACCTAGCAAGTTGTATTTATATATTTCTCATTGCACCTTCACTCTTAAAGTAGAGTTAATTTTGAACATGTCATCTCCCCAATAGTCTGTCTTTCCTAAAGGGCAGGGACAGGCTTGGCATTCTTATCTGTCTAGCCAATGGGACCAGAATCACTTCTGGGGCCTTCATAGCCAAAATAAATTCCAGGAACTAACAATAAACAGGCAGAATGAGAATCTCCAGGGCTGGGTCATTTGGCTGCACAACCAGCCTAAGGAGTTGCTGAATGAAAGAAAGAATCTCAGTGGTTCCAGTGCCTGGAATAGCACTTCCTCTGGTTTGAATACTCCCTAGTAAACTCTGGTCCATCCTTGATGGACTGGTTCAAGTGCCATGGTTGCATTCAGTGATATCTCTCCTGATTTCTTCCATTCTCTCATAATGCCCCGCCATCTCTAATTCCCTGACCTAAAGTTCCTTACCATATATTGATTACCTTTGACACTGAGCAAATTCTACTTGAGTTTTACTTTACTGATTAGACTCTGCTAGTATTGAAGGCACAGCAGAATGAGGACCTGCACTTGCCTTGAGTGCATAATTTAAGGGGCATCAAAAACTCAGGAATCAAGAGAAACTATATTTTAATGCAATATAATTAAATATTATTTAATGCAATATATTGTTCAATTTTCTTGAATATATCAAGAGTTTAAATAAAGACAGTTTCAGACCCTGTATTTGTATCACTGGCCTCACTGGCTTCAGTGTAATCCCAGTCCTGTTGGACTTTAGGTTTTATTTATCTTCTCACCCCAGCAGTGGATGGATGAATGAATATAAAAATGAATTGTTTCCTTGAACCAAGGCAGCAACTTGGAATTTGTAGATCCTGGTAATGAGGATGTCTTACAGGTGGCTCTGATGTGCCCTCTCAAACCAGCTAGACTGGAACACGGGGCCATATGCTCTAAAGTCTGAATATAATTTTTGCCTTCAGTCAGGTCCCCATAACATTATTCCTCCATTGTCTGCCTTTGTGAAAACTAAGAAAAAGCAATGCCGCGTTCTGTTGTCAGTCCTTGTTTGCCATCATGGAATCAGCCCTCAGAGGGCCAATTCATGGAATCCTTAGTAGTTCATGTTGTTTCAATAATGTTGCATTAAAATTGCCTTCCCCCATTGTTATATAACATTGTTACAATCACAGTCTCATGAATTGTTTGAATAATACCATGCTATTTATTTCATGTTGTAATTTACTCCTTCTTTCAGAAGTTTCCAGGCAAAATGAGATCAGAAAAACAAAGCCATTTAGACAAAGGGAAGCAACAGTGTTTGTTATACTTCATTCTCTGTATGATGTTTCCTTCTTAAGAAGGAATTTAGCTCCAAGTTATACTCAGGAAGAGAAAAAAAAATTTTAAGTTCCACCAGGGTTTAGGGCCTATTAACCACCTTTGTGAAGGAAGGTTGGCATCACTCTCCTCCCACTTCCCCCCTTATTATGAAGTTGTCTACATGGCTCTGTGGCCCCTGGGAAGACCAGGCTGTCCGCTGTTGCGGCCTGTCAGAGCCAAGCTTTTTCCTCAGTGGCCAGAGTTTTCACCCACAGTTAGCCACCAGGGGGCCACCTATTTGGAACAAACGGTGCAGACTCCACCGCTTTCCTCCAAACCAACCAAAACATCCCGGGGCCGCTTTGGAGCAAAGCCCAGGAACTTCCCTGCAAGGGAGGACAACTCTCCAGCTACAAAACCTGCAAGTCCTACATGGTATAGCCTTATTACGAGTGAAAAAGAAAACAAAGCACGGATTTGTCGCCAAGAACCGAGGGGATTTAAGGTCCATGGAGTCTGACTGGGAGGCCCCTCCCTCTCGCCAGGGAGCCTTGAGGTCTGCGACTTTCCTCGACTGAAGCACCTGAAACACTGCGCATTCAGGCGTAGGCAACAGAATTCCTGACGGTTGTGGTTGTTAATGCTGTTAGCTAGGGTGGCGGCTTCTCGCTCCTTTCCGTGGGATGCTCACAAGAACCTGGAATAAATCACACGTCACCGGCTGGAAATCTGTAAAACTCTCCAATAAATCATCTATGCATTGCTCAGACAGTTGAGGATACAAATCGCCATAGCTCTATCACATTTCTGTACGCATAAATGTGTATATTGACTAATGAAGTAGGAATTGTTTTAATATTATCCATAAGAAAATAATTGTACTATGTCGTCAAAATAGTTTTGTTGCAACTACAGCTTCGTACTGACTGCAGTTTAGCTTTTTGGGGACTCAGTATTTTTACAAGCATTCTTCTAGACCAGAATGCAGCTGCCCGCTTCATTTTCTCCCAACCGAAACCCTTGGCTTTCAAGACTTGAGGTGGGGGGTGGGGGAGGGCATTTTAGAAATTCATATTTGCCTGGGACAGAACTCTTCAAGAGTATAAACGATTTTTGTCTTCCGGGTTTTATTTGTGCATATCCAGGGCAAAGACAAATTAATAGGGCAGCCCTTCTGGAACCTGTGGAGTGTCTCAACTCTGCACACATCTCCCAGGATGTGCATAATGTTGCGGAGGGGTGTCTCGCTCAAAGGCAAGCCAGGTATTTTCCAAACTATCATGGGGGGTGGAGGGGCCGGGGGCCGGGTGACGGTAAGGGAACTCCAGACCGCCCGGCCCATGGGAGGCCCCAGGAGGAGCCAGAGCGCTCTGTCCGCCCGACACGCGCCACAAGTGGTTTGGAGAAAGAGGGAGGAGCGCGGTGGCAGGGGCCGCGCTGGTCTTGCCGGGCGAAGAAAAGCCCGTGCTTCTGGAAGGTCCCCCGCCTCCTTGTCACTCGTCCCCCATTTCTTCCTTTTCTCCTACCAGAGGAATGACGCCCAAACCCGAACCTCGGTGCGCACGCCGCCGGGTGGGTGGACGCGCGGCCACCCAACCCACAGCAACACTGCCACCCTGTAAAGGGCACCCTGGGTGGAGGGCACGGTCGGCACTGGGAGGAGAGGGAGCGCCCGAACCTGGGGAGGCAGGTGCGGAGACGGGCCGGCCCGGGGCGGTGTGTGCGTGGGCCGCGGGGTAGGGGTCCGCGAGCACCGAGGGGCGGACACTTCTGGGCGCCGGCCCGGGGCCGAGCGGGGGGTGTCGGGTGCCAGCCCGGCGGCTCGGGGCGGTCGCGGCGGCGGGGCGAGCGGCGGGGAGGCCATTTCCTCGCTGCGCCCCTGGCGGAGCCGGGTCTGCTTGCTCTTGGCCGCCGCCGGCGCCGCCGCGGCCGCGGGAGTAGGACCGCCGCGAGGGTTGAAGGAGAAACCAGGTCACCGGTTCGCAGACGCGGCGCGGAGCCGGCGCCCCGGGCCCGGAGTAAGGCAGCGCCCGGGGAGCTGGCCGGGGCGGGCCGGGCGCGCGGGGGGCCCGGAGAGGCGGGGAGCCACACTCGCTTCCTACGCCTATAAAAGTGGAGTGGCCGGGGGGGCCGGCGCGGCCCTGGCGGCGGCCGCCTCTCTTCGCCCAAGAAGTTGACATTTTGCAGGACTCGCGCGACGTCCCGTCGCCTGCGCTCCCCGGGACCCCGCCGCCGGGAGGAGGGGGCGGAGGAGGGTGGAGACTGCGGGGCTTGGCCAAGGAAGGCGCACATCCTCGGGCGGGCGGCCGTGACGCGGCGGGGATTAACTTTGCATGAATAATGTGAGTGCGCTTGGAAAGGAGACCTTCGGTTCCCCGGGCTCGGGGCAAGCGCCCGCAGGCTACCTTCCCCGGGCAGGGGTGCTCAACCCAACCGTCTCGAGGGCACTGGTAATTTGGCGAGAGGACTGCGTGGAAGCGGGGGCGTGTGGGGGAGGGGGGGAGGAGGATGGGGCGGCAGCTCCAACTGTCCAGAAGGGTGGGCAGGCTGGCGGCGGGGGTGTCGCGGGAACCTGAGAGGTGCGGGCGGCGAAGCTGGGCGCGCAGGCGGGCGGGCAGGCGGGTGTGGGTGGGTGGGGGGGGTGTCAGCCGCCGCGTTACCTGCCTCCGCCGGGTTTCTGCACCCCGGGTCCGGGAGGAGGTGCCCCTCGTGCTCCGGCACCGCGCGGCCGCAGTCCGGGAGCCCCAGCGTGGGCAGTGGTGGAGCCGGGCGGCTGGGGGCCCCCTCCAATCGCAGCGGCTCTGTTCCTCAAACCCCCAAGCCCAGCTGTTGACAAGCTCCTTGTGAAATGGAGTTTGGCATCCTCAGCGCCGAACCGAGTGGAAGTTTCCATGATGAGGAAGTTCTGTGACACGGGGGTTCGGAAAAGGTTGGCAGACACCGGGGGGCGGGGAGCGGGGAGGCGGTTTAAAGGGACTGTGGGTCCCCCATCCCCCTTTTTCCTCCTGCTCCGGAACTCCGGGGTTTGGAAAGGAGAATAATCCTGAATGTTGGCGTGCGCGGCTGCGGGTGCCTGGCGACTTGGCTTCTCCCCGCCTTCTCAGGGACTCGGTGGCGATTTCGCTCGCCACCTGGGTCGCGCTTCTTTGCCTTGCTCTTCTTTTGACGCAGCATCTTCCTCTGGGTCGACTCGAGTTGGTTCTGGCAACCAGGAGTTGAGCCAGCTGTGCTCTCCCCCGCCCCGGCCTCCCGGCCCCCCGACCTCCTACGGAGGAGGACTAAATTGGGGGAGGTTTTTTTTTTTTTTTCTTCCCTTAATAGATCGCGTCCTTCCTAGCTGCGGTTGTCATTTTGGAGGAGGATTTCCCAATGACCACTGTTGGATTAATATTAGCGCTAATTCTTAAGCCTTCCGATTTGTTGGGGAGGGGGGGAGCATGGGGTGTTTTTTCATTTATTAAAGGTTAAATGTATAATTTTCCCCAAATAGGAAATTTTACAGAGGGTCTAGAAGCTTAACAGTTCATAAAGTGAGTCAAAGAAAAAGGAAAGAGTTTACCTGAACAAACAAGTTCATACTCTCCACCCTCCCCTCTCCACACACATTTAGAATTTGTGAAGATTCAAACATTGTGCCTAATCGTCAGTAAATAAATTTGAAACAGAGTCTTCCTCTTAGCCTGTTACTGGTCTTGGGTGCTAGTGAGATGCAGTTTTAAAGACCAGTTTTGAAGTTCAAAAAATTAAGCATTCCTTGGACAGTGTCTTAATCTCAGAGCACAGCAGTCTTTATAATGGTAAATATTTTGGATCATGTAGACCTGTTGAGCAATATCTTTACATTATTTGGCTTTATTTTAATTTAGTATGCTTATTGACATTTTAATAATATGTAGCACGCACTAGATTACAAAGTAATAAAAATTGCATTTTAGTCAAAATATTCCATGATTCATTCTGAAAATTCACAGTGACTGATCTGCACCCTAATTCACTTCTGCTTACCTTTCTTATTCCGAAACAAGTCAGGAACTAAGAAACATTAAATAGAAAGGTATTTTGATGAAAAGTATTTTGAGCAGTGGATGTTTTCATGCCAGTTGGCTAAGGGTTTTTAATCGAGTCTAACAGAAATTCAATAGTAAGTGATTTGTTTTGGGTATTATATGGGAAGGCACTGATGAACAACCATTTATTATTTGTACATGTTAAACTGATACTATCAGAATCTTATTTTTAATGAATTTCAAAGTTTTATATATATTGGAAGTTGGACCATCTGGTAGTAGATATGATTTGCTTTTCTTTTTTAGTGAGTGAGAGTAAGTGCTACTAAATATAGCCATAGAACTATTTTTTTTAATGAAGCAATTCCTGTTGGCATTATAATGCAAAGGCATAGTTTTATTGACATTGGAATATTGTTTTATGGAGTGACTGACCTTACAAGAGGAATAAACATTCCATTTCTCCCCTTTTAGATTCTTTATTCTGGCATCATAATGAATTAAGACAACTTCTTTTTAATCTAGCATTTGGGGGAAAAGGTGATTTCTTAAAATTTCCTTAAGAGAAGTGAAAGTTGTGGATTCCTTTTCTTTCCTGAGATTTTTGCGGTTGTTTGAAGGAGGGCGTGTGTGGAGCCACAAATGGGATTGAAAGTTTGTTTTTTGTTTTTTGGGGTTTTTTAGTAAGCTCATCTTTTTGATGGAAATCCGAGTAAAGGTGATTGGTTTCTTTAGCTCCTTTTTGTCATTCCAGTGTAAGATTATGTGTCACCTTCTTAAAAAGCCCTTCCATGACCACATGAGCCAAGGCAGTCCCTCATTCCTTCTTAGCACCTTCATACTGTTTTTAGTTTCTTTTTTTTTTCTCTCTCTCTCTCTGTCCTTGGTCTTATTTGCAATCTGAATTGTCATTTCAGTTGGCACTTGAATACCTGTCTCCCCTGTCTACAATATAGAGTCCATGAGAAAAAAAACGTTTGACCACCTCTTTAACTCTTGATTCTCCAGCATCTTACACAGTGCTTGGCACACAGAACTGGAGAAATCTTTGTTAAATAAATGAATTGTTGTGCCCAAACATTGTGTTCCTAAAAATACCTGACTAAGCATCCTAAGTGGGTACCAACTGGGTATGTCAAGACCTGTGTCTGTGTATGTCTATGTGCCATGTATATATGGTTCAGTCTTTATCTCTGTCTCCCCCCACCTTTTTTTTTTTTCTGAGAAGAAAGCTAGTCCCATTCTATATAGTGACAATGCTGAGAGTTATTTCTGCAAGTTCTTCCTGGGAGCATTTGCCTGGAGTACACAGAAATCCCCAGCAGCAGTTTGTCTTAGACCTTACCTTGATTCCCTGAAGACATTGACCTTCAACTCCCTGGGTATCAGCAGAATCTTTATGAGTTCCAGAGGCATTGTCAGTGCTAAGCGAAATTCCAGGGAACAGCCATCACTGGATGATAGCAGTGCCTTCTCACTTGGCAGGTTCTGGGGCAGTGCCTCTGGTCTTGACAGTCCTAAGGGGACCAAGGGCCTGTGGTGGTATAGCTGGTCTACAAAAGTAGCAGTTGGGGAAGGGGCAAAATGGGACTGTCAGGATATAATACAAGATTGAAAGGGCCCTTGGGGGTAGATTTGAAAATACCCTGCTGGTCACCCTGTGTTGGAAGTTAAGTTATTCAACCTTTCCCCTTTGCGTCTTTTCACATTTCGATAAACAGATTCTAAACCAGATGATTGTGGGAAATACTGCATTATCTGAGTTTTCAAGTGACCAAGGTGTGATACCCAAAGGGTCATCTCCAAATTAGCTATTCATGGAAACTCTTTTGACAATTGAGACAAAAAGGAAATCACAGTGGGTGATTATAGTGATTTGTTTTTGTTTACAGAGTATGGACTTTCAGAAATGTGTCTGCAAAAATGCATAGTAAAAATCCCACAAAATGGGGGCGCCTGGGTGGCTCAGTTGGTTAGCGACTGCCTTCGGCTCAGGTCATGATCCTGAAGTCCAGGGATCGAGTCCCGCATCGGGCTCCCTGCTCAGCAGGGAGTCTGCTTCTCCCTCTGACCCTCCCCCCTCTCATGTGCTCTCTCTCTCTCTCATTCTCACTCTCTCAAATGATGAATAAATAAAAAAATAAAATCTTTAAAAAAAAAAAAGTCCCACAAAATGATGACATTGGTAAAAATGGTAGGGGAAGGAAGATCAAAATTTTATACAGGGGTAAAGATAGTTAAACTGAAATCCTAAGTGTTTATTGCTTTGGACTATTTAATTTAGCTCTGAGCTTCTCAGTGGCCAAGTTAACAGAAAAAAAAAAACAGGGTCTGGAGATGGCAGGTATGCATTAAAGTTGTAAGGATACATCACATAACGTTTGTAGAGGGCTTACCATGGTGTCTGGCAACTAGTATATAATTCTATGAAATATCAAATCATGTAATGGCCAGTACTTGAACTTCAGTTCTACAGAAAATGAAGTAAAGTTCTTTATTTGGTCGTCTTTTATGAGAATAAAAAATGCAGAAGGGATAATGATGAAAAGAAACTCAGTGGGAGTTTGTCTTTAGGAGCCTGAGCTACTGTGGTGCAGCAGTGGAAATTCTGGAATTGTCCCCAGTGCAAAAACAGAGCTCAGAAAACCTAGAGGAATGAATGGTTAACATGTTCTTCAGGCCGACTTTCTCAAATATCCAGCGTCTCAGCCAGGCTTTTGACTAGAGCAATCTGAGAGGACAGGACAGCCAGGTACTTGAAAATGACCCTATGGCCATAAACCCTCTGAACAAGTGATCTTGACACTTTGCTTTAGTCTATATAGCTCTTATCAACCTGCAGGGCAGTTTGGGTTTTGTTTCCATTTGTCTGCCCCTCTAAACTGGGATGAAGGACTATGGGTTTATTCATCCTTGACTCCCCAGCACCTAGCAAAGACTTGGACACATGGGCACAGGGAAACACTTGTTGGAAGACGGAATGGGAGAGGGAAAGGGGGTGGTGCTTCTCTTGCTCTTCTGATACTGATACTAAGTGTCATCTTTGGACTTCGTTTTGCCCAAAGTGAATGTTTGCTGCCTGGATTGAATTATATGTCTATATCACAGCTAGAAGGGCTTGTTCTAGTGTCTGAACTGGTTGAGCAATGGATGGCAAATTAACTTCTTGCTTTATTTACAGTAATTTTGATTATTTGACTTGATTTCTCATTCAGTCTACAAAAATTTGTGTACCTACTATGTGCCTCATCTGGTAGTCATTTTGCAGCTCAGTGTGCAGCCTAGTGACCTGTAAGACAATGTACATATATTAACACAAAGGGATCATGAAATGGTCTCCACTGTGATGGAACAGATATGCCTATTGGACTCCTTCATATGGCCCCCTAAAGGAAATAAAGTTATTTTCATCTGAGGAGGTGATTGTTTTGTGGTTTCTATAGCCTGTGTGTATTCGTGTAAATTGCAGTAGGATTCTCTTGGTATCCAAATGGTGTGGGATTGAATATATTTAGGCCAGTGAGTCTCTGATTAAGGATGTTCACTCTTCACCTGAAGTTCCTAAATTTGTGAGTCAATTATGATGTTTAAGTAAGTTGGGGGGGGGGGAGTATCCAAATCACTGAGTCACAAATAATGTATTTCCATATGCTTCTCTTAGCAATCTGGTCGACTGACAGCTAGACTAATGCTCATGTTGTTTGGTCCATACTGTCCTAATTTCAAGGGACTTTGGAGACTTTATGTGCTGGCGTTGTTCCTGGGCAGTACTATTTTTATTGAGTGAGAACC